CCCCTGGCCTGGAGGAACAATCGGAAAGTGAACATCCCACACTGGCAGATGGCTCATGCCCAGGGTATGGCCAACCCCACAGCAGGATAAAGGGGGGGAGCAGGGTAGGGGAGAGGCTGTCCCAGGACCTCAGCCTCCCCCAGGCCCATCCCTCAGTTTCTGACCTTGGGCCCTGATTGCTGGTGGCAAAGGCAGTCAAAGCTCTGGGGTGGCCTGTCTGGGCCAGCCTCATCCAGGTGATCAAGCGGCTCACAGAGCAAGCCCTGTGTGTGGCCCGTCTCCAGAGACCTCCCTCCTGTGCTAACTGGACACCCCTTTCAGCCAGCCACAGCACCCCACCCCACTTGTCCTTCCAACAACCTCTCCTTTTATTTTATTTTTTTAAAATATATTTTATTGATTTTTTACAGGGAGGAGGGGAGAGGGATAGAGAGTTAGAAACATCAATGAGAGAGAAACATCGATCAGCTGCCTCTTGCACGCCCCCTACTGGGGATGTGCCCGAAACCAAGGTACATGCCCTTGACCGGAATCGAACCTGGGACCCTTGAGTCCGCAGGCCGCCGATGCTCTATCCGCTGAGCCAAACCGGTTAGGGCGAACAACCTCTCCTTTTAAAAAAAATATATTTTTACTGATTTCAGAGAGGAAGCGAGAGGGAGAGAGAGAGAAACATCATTGATGAGAGAGAAACATTGATTGGCTGCCTCCTGCATGCCCCACGCTGGGGAGCGAGCCCACAACCTGGGCATGTGCCTGTCTGGGAATCGAACCATGACCTCCTGGTTCATAGGTTGATGCTGAACCATTGAACCACACTGGCCGGGCCAGCAGCCTCTCCTCTTCTTTTGCACTCAAAGACACAAGTTCACCAGGGAGAGAGAAAGGGATTTAGTAGGACGTGAGCCACCTCCCCACTCAGGGGCTCTGCTTCCTGTGGGTCACTGGACTGACTCTGGGAACCCAGTTGTCTCATGCAGACCCCTGTGAAGTGGCCATCTGGGCCTGGAAACCTGGGGCTCAGTGGGGAACTGTTGTGCTCTCCGAGGAACAGACTTTCCCCCTCACCAAGCCTCTGACGATGTGCTCGCTGTACACACCTGGTCTAGGCCCCTAAGCTGCAGGTGCCAGCAAGTTAGCTACCTTATAGGGAGGACCCCAGACTCCCTGCACCCACCTCCCCTCCCCCCTCTCCCCTCTGCCTTCACGTTATCTGAGCCTCTGCTGCCAGCAACCCCACTGCTGGTACTAATTTCTGTTCAGATCCAAGGTCTGAAGTTGGGGCTAGGTTGTTGTTGTTTTTTAATATTTTTTAAATTGATTTCAGAGAGGAAGGGAGAGGTAGAGAGAGAATCATTAATCGACTGCCTCCATCATGCCCCACACCCGGGATCGAGCCCGAAACCCGGCCATGTGCCTGACCGGGAATGGAACCGTGACCTCCTGGTTCACAGGTTGACGCTCAACCACTGAGCCATGCCAGCTGGGCAGTGCTAGGTTTTAAGGAGTCAAAGGCTACTCATGAGTGTAATGGGAGGGTCCAGGGGACTCTCATAGACATCCAATCATAGGGCTCCAGTGGGGCTTCATGAACTGGGAAGCCACCATCCTTATTCTCTCTGGGGCCCTGGCTGTAGCTGCTCTCCTGCCTCCCTCTTCAGACCCCATATGTCCCATGAGTTAGTTGCCTGTGCGCACGCCTGAGATGGCCGGGCAGCCCCACATCCCCAGGAAACCCACCTTCCAGACCCAGGACCTTTCATTCAAATTCTCCAGAGAAGCCATCTGAGTGGCCAGCTTTGAGCTAGGTGTCCCCCTTGGTACCAATCAGCTGCAGCCAAGCTTGTGCCTCTGGACCACTGGGGAGGCGAGAAGGAGTAGCCCATAAGTGAGGGGTCCCTAGAGAGCAAGGGCAGGCAGTGCGGGGGCGGTGGGGGCTCGTGTCGGGCTTTCACTCTCCTGGGTCCCGCAGGACGCGTGGCGGCCCAGAACATGCTGGCGCAGGAGGCGGAGATCTGCACGGTGCCCTACCTGTGGACAGCCATGTTCGGCAAAAGCCTGCGCTACGCGGGTAACAGGAACCTGGGGACGGGGCGGGGCCAGGAGCCATTGGGGGCGGGGCTAAGGTGATAGCGGAGTGAGGGGTGGGTGGGCTTGGAGTTGGGGCGGGGCTACGAGCATCCTAGGGGCGGGGCCACGACAGCTGTAGAAAGTGGTAAAGCACTCACTGGCGGGCGGGTACAGGGGGCAGTTAGGAGGGCACAGGACCCTGACCGGGTGGAACCCCATCGCCTCTGCTGAGCTCACGTGGACACCGCCCGCCTGCCCGGCCCACAGGGTACGGAGAAGGCTTCGACGACGTCATCATCCAGGGGGACCTGGAGGAGCTGAAGTTCGTGGCTTTTTACACCAAGTGAGAGCAATGGGGTGGGGCAGGGGCACGAAGCCGCAGGACCTGGTCGGTAGGGGGAAATCATCCCAGATAAGCCTTGCTTCAGACGAGGGGGCTTCCCGGAGAGGTGGGGGGACGGAGGGGCAAAGGGAGGGGCAGGCAGGAGACACCGCCGAGGAGAGGTGAGGCGGTGGGGTGATAAGTCCACCTGCCACGCATCGACAGGACATTTGATCCTTAGCACAGCTCTTTGAGGTGGGTGTGGCTATCCCGCGTTTACACTGAGGGAAGTCACACAGGTAGACAGTGGTAATCCCAGGACAGGAGCCCAGCCCTGAACCTCCATGGGAGTCCCACAGTAGCCCAAAGCCCATGTTGGGCTAAAGTGCAAAGCAGCGAGGGTTGGGTGCTCGGGACATCCCTGTTGTCCTGGGTAAGATCCCTTCCTGAGTCCCAGGTGGACAGGAGTGTGTCAGGGTCTCCGAGAAGAGGGTAGTTACCAGGCTCAGCCACCCTCTCCCCACAGAGGCGACGAGGTGATCGCCGTGGCCAGCATGAACTACGATCCCATTGTGTCCAAGGTGGCTGAGGTGCTGGCCTCGGGCCGTGCCATCCGGAAGCGGGAAGTGGAGTGAGTGTGGGCATAGGAGGCCTGGGGAAGGGGACAAGAGTTCTACCGAAGGACTGGCTCAACCTTTCTGTGGCAAGCAGCTGCACCACAGCCCTCTAGGGCGTCCCCCCATTTTCGGTCCCCATCAGTGTGTGGCTCCTAGTGCTATGGGGCCGTGTAGGGCATAGGTTGTGATTTGGGAGCGGGGCTGGTTATATGTGCTCTTGGGAGACAGAAGGAAAAGGGCCATGTCCCAGGGCAGGGTCAGTGCTGTGGGGGTGGTCAAGGCTCACTGCTTGGGCAATCCCTGAGCCTGGGACATCTGACTGGACAGGCCGTGTTGGACCTGGCAGAAGCCAGGTGGGGAAATGCAGCTAGTGATGCCCTGCACAGATGTGGGTGATGGTTTGGGGTCTGGGAGACACTGGACACCAGTCATTACCCTCATCCCAGTAACAATGGGAGTCGCCCTCTAGGTTCGACCTAACCTACAAAGAGCCTCCAGGGACTGGGGAAAACCTGGAGGCCATGGGAAGGGGGTAGGCTTCAGACTAGCAACAACGGACCACCAAGAGGGGACATAAATGACATGCTCTTCCCTGGCCTTCTCTGTCTCTCCCTCTTGCACTCGAAAAGGCTGTTTCTGCTGCACAGCAAGTACGTGTGCCCTGGCCTTCCTGTTGACTATTCTGAGCCGTTCCCCACTCAGCCCAGAGTCTGCACCTGATGGGCTTTCCCCTTTACCCAAGTACATCCCTGCTGGACACCAGACCCCTGCTGTCCTCAAGGGCCAGCTGCTCATGGTGCTGAGTGGGGAGCCTGCGCTCTTCTTCCGCCCTGACTCCTCCTCCCCTCCTTCCTGCAGGACCGGCGACATGTCCTGGCTCACAGGGAAAGGATCCTGAGCTTGCATGCAGCAGACTTGGGCAGGCATGCTCGGGCACCAGGGACAGAGACCAAGCCCTGGGGGCAGGTGCCAACCTCCAATTTCCCAGGATCCCCCAGGGCAGAACCTGAGCCCTTCCAGTGCTTGCCATCAGCTGCCTGGCTCACCTCCAAAGAGGCCTCCACTGTTTCCAAGAGATGCTCACCACCCAAGGCCTCGACTGCCACCAATGGCTGGCAGCGGAGGTGGGACAGGCCCTGCCTCATCTCCCTCTATTGGGACCGATCCCCTGTAGGACCCTGCAACATATTAGACATTATCTCAAAATTAAAACGCACACATTTGCAGATCTGTGTGATTTCCACTGTAATTGGGCAGACACTCACGAGGGAGAAAGCACATGACAGGGAGACAGGCACAACCATAGATTGCTCTGGGCCACACCAAGGAAGTTTGGCCTGTGAGTGCCCAGGAGAGGGAGCAACTGATTCTGCCCCGGGGGTTAGGAAGGGCTTCTCCAACCAGTGTCTTGGTTTTGGGTGTTGAAGGAAGGGCATTCCAGGTAGAAGAGACTGCAGGTGCAAAGGGCTTGAGACGGGGCGTGCTTTCTCAGAGCTCAGAGGCAGCACGCGTTTGGCAGTTTGCGGGCATTTGCCCACTTAGGGCTGTAGGAGCTGGGTCCTGAGACAGACCTCAAGCTTCTCAAGGCAGCCAGAGCTTCCCAACGCCGCATTTCGCAGGTGAAGAAACTGAGGCTCTGCTGTTAGAGATAAGAATCCAGGGCCTCTGCGCTACGCTGCCTCTCAGCCAATAAGAACAAGGAGGGTAGGCGCGGCGGCAGGTTCGGGCTGGGGTCCCAAGCAGGAAGGGAAGAGTTGGCTGCCGGCGGAGGCCGCTGCGAGCTCGGAACCGTCCACCAGGGAGCCCGGGAGCGGCGGACGATCACTGCCGAGCCCCGCGCAGACAAGGCATGCCGGGAATAGCGGCCGCTCTCCGGACGGCGTGTGGCAGGGCAGGCGTCGGGGAAGTGCAGTCGGACGGGGCTGGGGATCGGGTGCCCGCACTCCGTGGGGACTGTTTCCCACAACCTCGGGTACCGGGTGTTGCGCCCGCCAGCTGGGCCACGATGAGCTTTAGGCTTGTCGGGAAACGCCGACGGACCAAAGCGTGGCGCCAGGCGGAAGTGCTGCGCCGTCGTCCCAGTGCACGCCGGGAAATGTAGTCCCTCCGGGCGGCCCAGGGCGGTGGCTGCGAGTCCCGCGGACCGGGTGACCGATCTGGCGTGGACCCGGGATGGCTGGGACTGGCGGCTCGGTGGGCCCGATCGGGGCCGGGGCCCTGGCAGGCGGCGTGCGGTCCAAGGTAGCCCCGAGCGTGGACTTTGACCACAGCTGCTCGGACAGTGTCGAGTACCTGACGCTCAACTTCGGGCCCTTCGAGACAGTGCATCGCTGGCGGCGCCTCCCGCCCTGCGACGAGTTCGTGGGGGCTCGGTACGGCGTGGGTCCAGGATCTTGGGGGTGGGGAGGATGCCCGAGAGGGTTTCATGGTGGGTTCCAGGGAAAAGGCTGGGGCATGGTGTCCTGGAGCGGGATCTGGTAATGGGGTGGTGGTGGTGGTGGGGGGAGTGGTGGTGTCTTGGGCGATGCCCAGGGCCGCGGCGGGGATTTTGAGGGAGTCCCGGAGCGGGGTGCCCAGGGGCCAGGTACCAGAGTCATGTTGTGGGCCTCCAGCTGAGTCCCAGGTGCTCTGCAGTGGGATGAGGAGTCCAGAGAGTCCTAGGACAATGACAGGGTCCCCACATGCAGGGTTATGGGGGGGGGGGGTACTGGTGGAATTTAGGGGTTTCTGTTCATCTTGATAGCTGAGAGGTGTTATCCAACTTATGTGGCAGCCCCGGTGTTGGTCTCATTTCTTGGGTGCCCCCCGGAGGGAGGGTCCTGGTCTCATCTCTACCCACCCCTCTTTGCTTTCCAGGCGCAGCAAGCACACCGTCGTGGCCTATAAAGACGCCATCTACGTATTTGGTGGAGACAATGGGTGAGTGAGTCGGAGCATCGGGGTGTTTGGACCAGGGAGGGACAAACATGGTGGTTTGGATTAGGCTTCTGCAGCTCCACTACTGTCTTTACAAATGTTAGCCAAGCATTCAACCTCCATTTCCCAGTCTGGAAGGTTCCCTGCCCTCAGGGCCTCAGCACAGCATCCAGTGGGTAGCATATGCAGAAATTTCCCTCTTGCTCTGACCGAGTGGACAGAGCCTTGAAAGAAACACATCAGCCCTCGCTGCCACCCTGCCAGGCGCTTTGCCTTCCTGCTCACCCTCCTGCTGTTTCTCTGAATCACCTGTGAGTGAGGCCTTCCGCCACCACCTGGACCATCTGCACCTCTTCCCGGCTCCATTGGTCCCAGGGCATACAGGTGTTTGTTAGCTGTCTTCTCCAGAGCAGGGCCTGTATCCCAGCACCCAGACAATTTGACAGGTGTTTGTCCCATGAAGGAATGAAAGACATTCCGTGAGAATCCCCCAAACTGGAAATGCCTGGTGTCCAGCACAGAGTGGTGGGTGGGGAACTGTTCTGTAGCAGGAACTGTGGAGCAACAAGCAGAACTATTTTTGCTACAATGTGACACTGAGAAACAGAATACAAATTTGTCTTAATACAGTTGTAACTTTGTAGACGGACTGGGTACAAGGAAAGATGGCCTGTAGCCCTGGGGGGGTGGTGGTGGTGTCAAAGGTCAGGGAGGAGGGGCAATGGGGGCGGGAATTACTGTCACACTCTGCTTCCCAGCTCCTGGCTTCCTGGCTGCATGGCCTCAGACGGGTCCTTTTATCTCCAGGCTGTTTCCTCTTCTGTAAATGGAAGTGGAGAGCTCAGCCATCTGGTGCAGACTGAGCTAGGCAGGGGGTGCCTGGCCTGGTGTGCAGGGGGTGGTGGACTCCTTGTTGGGTTGACACCCTCCTTCCCTCTTAGTGACAGGGCTGGGTGGTGACATGCAGGTTGTGTTAACAGGTGGTGTCATGGCTAGTGGATTTGCTTTCTGTTTTATTTTATCTTTTTTGGTTGTTTATTATTTATTTTTAATTGAATTTACTGGGGTGACGTTGGTTAATAAAGTTATATAGGTTTCAGGTGTACAATTCTAAAATACATCATCTATATATTGCATTGTGTGTTCACCATCATTTTATTGTATCTTTGAAATGTAGTTGCTACCCTGGCTGTGTGGTAAAGAGGTGGCAGGAAGATCAGAGAGAAGGGGAGGGGCCGCCCTGAGGTGTGGGCAGGCATAGGCTGTGGGTGGCTGGGGTCATGCTTCGGTCCTGCCTGACTCCCAGCAGGCAGCCCCTGTGCCTGCACCAGCTCAGGAGCTTCCTCTGTGGTCACCTCTCTGGTCCCTCGGGCATCAGCTGGTGTCTGGCCCTGGCTAAGTCTCCTAGGACAACTCCCCCACCTCCTGGGCTGCAGTGTCCATCTTCTAGGTCTTGGCTGGGCAACGCCCTGCAGAGCAGACCAGAACCAAGCCCGCCTCTCCCTGGCTGTGTTTCAGGAAGACGATGCTCAACGACTTGCTGCGGTTTGACGTGAAGGACTGCTCCTGGTGCAGGTGCGTCCCAGGTCCCTGCTCTTTCTCCTAGAACTTGGTCGCACTGTTTGGGGCCCTGATTGCCAGTGGAGTTACATTCCTGGAACGGTAGACAGAAGCTTCGAGGAGGAGATAAGAATCCCCCCCACCCCCCCGCCTCCCATGCCATACCCAGTGTTCCCTCTATCTCTTAGGTTTCTTTCCCAGTCCATGACTGAGATTGATTATTCAAATCCTCTTAATAAGGGGATCTGTTTGATCCGTGGGTCCTCAAATTCTGCCTCAGGAGAGCCCTTCGGTCACCAAGCCTGCCTCCCAGGCCAGGGGCTGGAGCCAACACAGAGAGCCATTAGTCGATGGGTTCTAGGACAGACTCTGGTGCTGCAGGGGCTCCTCCCCCCTCATGGGGCCCATCCTCTCCCTGAAGACCCCACACAGGCAGTGGGCATCGTGCGGACCCGGGCCTGCCTCCTGCAGATGGCCCTCCCCGCTGTGCAGCTGTGGACAAGACACCTGCCCTCTCTGAGCACTGCATAGTTGCACCCTGCGGCCCAGCCCCTGACCTGGAGCAGCTCACAGCTGAGGGGGAGAAATAGATCCTGGGGTTAGAAGATCCCGGGCTTCCTCTGAGCTCTGCCGTCCGCTTGTGCAGAAGCCCAGGTTCACCGAGCGCCTTGGGTGCCACGCTCTGCTCTGGAGCCCTGTGCGCAGCCCTCGGTCCCCGGCGGCCTCTGGGGTGGGGTCTGACCGCCCCTCCCCCCTGCCCCGACAGAGGAGGATGTCAGGGCTCAGGACCCACAGCTGCTGAACCTGGCACGCCAAGGTGGCATCACCCAACGCTGCCCACCTTGTGCCCAGGAGACCTGGGTAGCACTGGGATTGCCACAGAAATCTCTATGTTGTTTCTTTCACACTTAATTTTAAAGTATGGCCAATAGTTACAAATTCATTTTAAAAATCACTCTGAAGACTTTACATTCTTTTTTTTTTTTTTTTAAATGTTTTTATTGAATTTTATAGAGAGAGGAAGGAAGAGGGAGAGAGAGATACAAACATCGGAGAGGAACATCGATCAGCTGCCTCCTGCACAGCCCCCACTAAGGATTGAGCCCACAACCTGGGGTTGTGCCCCGACTGGGAATCAAACCAGTGACCTCTTGGTTCCATACCAGCTGGTGAAGACTTTACATTCTCTGTTAAAAAACTGCCTAAGTAGCCCTGGCTGGTGTGTTCAGTGGTTAGAGCATCGCCCTGCGCACCTGAGCATCTTGGGTTGGATTCCCAGTTAAGAGTATGTACCTGGGTTGCAGGTCTGAGCCCTGCCCCGGTCGGGGCAGTCGTGGGAGGCAACCAGTCAATGTGTCTCTGTCACATCGATGTTTCTCTTTCTTTCTCTCTCTCTCTCTCTTTCTCTCTCTCTCTCTCCCTCCTTCCCTCCCTCCCTTCCACTCTCTCTAGAATAAATGGCAAAAATATCCTCACTCCTTGAGTGAGGATTAAAAAAAAAAAATTGCTTAAGTATAAAACTGAAAAGGAGCAGCCCCCAGAAAGCAGTATAAATGGATTTTTAATTTGTAAAGTAAAACCTGTGGACCACCCATGCTGCAGGATACAGTGCAGCTGTGAGACGCGGGGTAATGATGATTCACGAGTGGCTTGAAGACCTACTCACAGTCTACTATGAAGCTGAGAGAGCATATTGCAAAATACCTACCAGATGATTCCATTTAAAAAAAAAATCACTCCGAGACACAATATGCATGGGAAGGTGTAGGGGTGACCTCCAGATGTGGACAGTGGTTTCTAGCAAAGGGTTATATATAAATGGTAGTGCTGTGTATGTTTTTTTCCTTATTGGCAATTTCCTAAAAAGTTTCTATAGTGATACAGGCATGACCTTCAAAATATTGCTGACACCCATTGACACTTGTTCTCCCGCCAGGGCCTTCACCACTGGGACCCCACCCGCCCCCCGCTACCACCACTCAGCCGTGGTCTACGGGAGCAGCATGTTCGTCTTTGGTGAGCTGCCACTCACCTCCCAGGCCAGGGCTCCCTGACCTCCATGAAAGCCTCAGGCCCACGTGCTGTGCTTGGCTGGCCTCTCTCTGTCCACTCTGATCCTCAGCCCGGTCTCCTGGGGCGGGAACCGTCTGCCTCTGCGACTGGGCTGGAAGGTGGCTTTCCCTCCCCGCCGGGGACAGGGAGTGGCGTCCTGCTGATCTCTGTGTCCCCAGAGCCCAGCACGGAGGCAGGCACCCAGTAGGTGCTCCCGAGGTGTGCGGAGAAAGTTCTGGAATGCCTTTCCAACGGGGCCAGATTCTGCCCTCCCCTCCTGGGGTTTGAGGACTCAGAAATGCTGCCTTTGGGTGTGACGGTTGCTCTCTCTTCACCCAGGGGGTTACACTGGGGACATTTATTCCAATTCTAACTTGAAGAATAAAAATGACCTCTTCGAATACAAGTTTGCAACTGGCCAGTGGACGGAGTGGAAAATTGAAGGACGGTGAGAACCTGCTGAAACCTTCGGGGCTGTTCTGCGGGCTCCGACCCTGCAGCATTACAGAGGAGCCCGGGGCTCGGAGAGGCCTGGGAGCTGGGGTTTGGTGTGAACTCCCAGCTGCACCGTTTGCAGCCTCTTCCCAGCTCTTGGTTGGGTAGAAGGGACCCGGATGTCCTGTGCTGAGCGCTTCCACGGTCCTACCTTGCGAGCACCCCTTTGCTATTTGGTCGCACCCGGGAGAGGTCTCTGCCCGGTGATGTCTGAATGCATCATCAGGGCCTGGTGCCGCATGAGCTCAGGTTGCTGTTGATTGTATCCTGACTGGAGTCCTGGGGCCAGCAGATGTGGGCACGGCAGTCAGGGCCTGGCAGGACTTGCAGGGCTGTGGCCACTGGACCAGCCTTGTGGGGCTGTGAGGCTCGGGTCTGCACCGAGTGGCCTCATTCCTCCCCAACCTCTTGCTCCAGGTTGCCAGTCGCCAGGTCAGCCCACGGTGCCACGGTGTACAGTGACAAGTTATGGATCTTTGCTGGCTATGATGGCAATGCCAGGTAGGTGGTGGCCTGGCCCGTGGGCACAAAGTGGGCTTTCTTGGTCTTGGACAGTTCAGACTGGGGGTTTCTCGTGAGGGTGGGTATGTGGGCGGGGGGAAAGGGGGCAGGATGAGGGTGATGGCCACTGATTGGAGCCCCTTTCCTACCCCCACAATGGTTAAAAGGACTGGCACCCCTAAGGCCCCTCCCAGGGCATCGGAGGCATCAAGCCTGGCCCATGTTTGCACAGCTGTCGTGCTTGTCTTCAGAGCAAATAGCTGGGGGTCATCAGAGCTGGGGGTGGGAGAGGTGGCCCCTTGCATTGCTGGGGTGGGAATACTCAGGCTCACAGCAAGGAATGACCCTCAGGGGCGAGTGAGCAGGTGGGTGGCAGCAGCAGGGCTCAGACTCGGCCCTTCCCCTGCAGAGGACAACAGAGCCTTTGCCTGTGCCACAGGCATTTCCTATTTCAGCAAATTGGCTTTGCTGTGTTTTTCGGATTACAAAGCAGCATGTGCTCACTCCCCAGCACTTCAGCATCATAGACACTAATCAGTGCAGTTTCTAAACAGTGAGCATTGCCTCTCTGAAGTCCTACCCCAGGGACCAGCCGAGGGCTGACCCTACCCCCTGCCCTAGAGGTTGGGAATGAGGCCTTCCTTTGAGTGAGGCCTCTCTTCCTGCCTGCACTGGGCGGGGGCCTGGCACAACAGGGACTCAGTGTAGCCCCCACACTCGCCCAACTGAAGCTCCAGCTTCATGGCTGCCCCAGAGTCCGCTGGTCAGAGTCCCAGGTGATGGGTGGTTCTTCCCTGGAGCCATCCCCCCTGGCCCTCCCTGCCAGTCAGCCCCAGTGGTGGGCATCCTGACCCCTTTGTCCTCATGCAGGTTGAATGACATGTGGACCATTGGCCTTCAGGACCGAGAGCTCACATGCTGGGAGGAGGTAAGGGGCTGGAGGGTTTTGGGGTGGGTTGTGGGGAGGCAGGGAGGTGAGGGGTGCAGGGGAGCAGGATGGGTGCAGGAGGCAGGGAGGTGAGGGGTGCAGGGGAGCAGGGTGGGCTGGGGTGGGGGCTGCTTTGCTCCCTTTGCCAAAGCCCAGCCTTGACCTCTGCCTTGCCCTTCCCGCTGACCTGCCTGTCAGTGCCAGTGGCAGTGACCTAGTGACTAAAGGCCCTATGTTCTGGGGGGCAGCCTGTCACAGGTGACGATGCAGTTCAGGTGTAACCCACCCTTACCTGATAGTGAGGACAGCACGCCCCCTGCTGTCCTGCTGGCTGCTGTTTCCAGGTTGCTCTACTGTCTTTCCCCGAGGAGGGGATGTCTTTCTCCTTTAGTGATGACTTTATTCTCCATTTAGGAGGGGACGGTGGGGCTTTAGGTTGTTCTGCAAAAAAAGAAAAAAAAATATGTGAACCCTCAATCACAGAAGAAACTTCGGGAGTAAAAGCAGTCCCAGCTCAGCAACGTGAGCACAGACGTGCGTGCTGGGTCCCGTGAGGGCCCTGGCTGAGCTGCCTCCCGCCCCCCCAGGTGGTGCAGAGTGGCGAGATCCCCCCTTCCTGCTGCAACTTCCCGGTGGCCGTGTGCAGGGACAAGATGTTTGTGTTCTCAGGGCAGAGTGGAGCCAAGATAACCAACAACCTCTTCCAGTTTGAATTCAAGGACAAGATGTGAGTGCACCGGCGGTGGGGCCCTCGGCCCCCCACGCCTGCATCTGGAGCCGTCCTTGGGAGCGCCAAGGAAAGCAGGGCCGGCTGCCCTCCTCCCGCAGCGGGAGGTGTGGTGTCTTTACATAGACTGAGCCCGAGGTCCCCTGCAGGCCCCTTGGGTGTGGCTGCAGCTCAGCAAGACAGGGCCTGGGCGGCCTCCCTTTTTGAGTGAAGAACACCCCAGCCCCGTGAATGGCATGGCCAGGGCCACCAGTACCAAGTGTGGCTGGCATAGCTCTCATGTGATGGAGGGTGCCCGGGCCCTGAGCTTCCAGCGTACGCTGTCCTTGGCTGCTGGCCAGCCCTCGACCCCTGTGCTGGGGACTAAGGCAAGCGCCGGGCATTGGCTCTGGGAGTTAGTGGAGGAGAGAAAGGGAGTTTGGGCTGCAGGTCAGGGAGGCTCAGGAGGGGACTGGGAGCTGCCCTGGATGCCAGCGTATCAGCTGGGAAGGAGAAAGGCTGGGTGTCCTGGGCAGGGGAAACCCTGCTGTTGCCTGTCCGACTCGCCTGTCCTGGGGTGGCCAGGCCTGGGGGAGAGCCACGTGCACGCTGGCTCGCTGCTCCGCCCTGGCCTGGGCCCTCAGGACAGTGGGCATCACACAGGGCTCAGAGCAGGCAGGGCAGACCTGGAGAAGTGAGGGCATGGGCAGAGGCCAGGTACAACCAGACTGCGGAGGGTTTGGGGCAGACTTGCAGGCTCTGGCCAGGTGGACAGGTGGCTGATCTGCAAGGGGGCCCTCAGGGAGGTGCCAGTATTGGGGGTCCGAGGCCTGCACAAGGGCTTGGGGGTACCTGTGGAGCAGGCTGAGGAAGGCGCATCTAGAGGGCAGAGGGCTGCAGGACGAGGAGCCCAGGGGTGACAGGGACGGGGTAGGAAGGAAACCATGGGAGACACGGTCACCAGCAGCAGCCAGGTGGGTAGTGGGTGACTGGTGGCCCGGTTGGGTTGAGCCTGTGTGGTGCCACCTTCCTCGCAGGCCAGCCCCCAGGCAGCCTCCCACCCTGCCTCATGCTTGCACCCTTTGTTTCTCCCCCCCACGCCAAAGAGGTGTGCAGAGCTGGTTCCAGAGCGAAATTCGACAAGGGACCCTGGGCAAATGCACTGCAGGCCCTCCCTCGGCCGGGGAAGGTCTCCCAGGGGTTGCAGGGCACTAGGAAGACTGTGCCTGTGGTGGGGGCCTCGGAGCCCAGGTGGAGGTCACAGGGGAGCAGGAGCCCCTGCCTGGCACTGGTTCCTTGTTGTGTGCTCCCAGGTGGACACGCATCCCCACTGAGCACCTGCTTCGGGGCTCCCCGCCGCCCCCCCAGCGGCGCTACGGGCACACGATGGTGGCCTTTGACCGCCACCTCTACGTGTTCGGGGGCGCAGCCGACAACACTCTGCCCAACGAGCTGCACTGCTATGACGTGGACTTCCAGACCTGGGAGGTGGTCCAGCCCAGTTCGGACAGCGAGGTGAGCCCTGCCAGGTGTTGCTGAGGGGATCCAGGGCCCGTGGCCTGGGCTGTGTTCCTGACTCATTTGCTCCCACCTCCTCACACCTCAGGGTGTTCCTGGGGCTCCGGACAGCCAGCAGGAGCAAGGCCAGGATGCCCTCAGCCTGGACCCCACCCTGGCCTGACTCTGGAGCCTGGGCCTCTCTGCCTGTTCTCCACCTGGCAGCCTGTGGGCTCTATGATTCCTCTTCCCACCACGTTTGCATTGTGCTGAGGATGTTCTCCTGGCTCCCAACTCAGCCCTCATCTGTGTGGCCCGTCCCGCCCCCCCGTCCCCCCTCCCAGCGCTCTAGGTGAGGGTGGCGAGCAGTCTCTGGTGCCTGCCTGGCTTTGCTGACTGGTTGTGCCCTGCATGTCTCCCATCAGGTTGGTGGGGCCGAGGTACCAGAGCGAGCGGCTGCTTCTGAGGAGATGCCTGCCCTGCCCTCGGAGGACCGGGGCGGCTTCAAGAAGTCCCGCGATGTGTTTGGCCTGGACTTTGGCACCACCAGTGCCAAGCAGCCTTCCCCACCGGCCTCCGAGGTGAGGCCCAGTGCCCTTGTTACCTACCGCTCCCTCGCCCTCTGAAGCCGGACCTGTGATCGGCTCATCTCAAAGGTGGGGGGACTGAGGCTCGGAGGGAGTGAGAGGAGGGCCAGAGCCCGCGCCCCGCTGGCTGGGCCATGTCGCTGCAGCAGGTGAGACAGCACCGGCTGTGTCCACTCTGCGTCCCAGGGGCCCTGTCCTGCCTGCTCACCTCCACAGGCCCTGCCTCCGGCCCTGTGCCTGCAGCTGTGCCCCAGGCCCCGCTCCAGCCCCGCCTTCCAGGCCAGTGGTGCCATGTCCTTAGCCACCGTATGACCACTCTAGGCCGCAGCCAGCCCGGCTGGAGACCCCGCCCTGCCCCTCCCCACCTTGCTGACTTGTCCCCCCACTCTATCCAGCTGCCCAGCGGAAGGCTCTTCCATGCAGCTGCTGTGATCTCGGATGCCATGTACATCTTCGGGGGCACCGTGGACAACAACATCCGCAGCGGGGAGATGTACCGGTTCCAGGTGGGGCTCACGGGCTTGCGGAGCAGGCGGCTCCCTTATGAGCTGACTCTGCAGGGAGGCCGGCCAGGGCGAACGGGCCCTGACGATGGAAACAGACCCAGTGGGTAGGGGCGGAACTTGTCCAAGGGTGTCCAGAGCCAGGGCTGCACGCGGTGGGATGGCAGCCTTTCTGGGCAGGGTGCCGCTGGTGGGGCAGCCAGTAGAGGCCTGGGAGCCACCTGGGTCACTGGAGGGAGCCAGGCTGAGCTGAGCTTGGCGTCGGGGCCTCAGGGGGCAAAGCCAGGAGCACAGTGTCTTCCTCGGTAACCCCTGGGCTCCTCCTGCAGTTCTCCTGTTACCCCAAGTGCACGCTCCACGAAGACTATGGGCGGCTGTGGGAGAGCCGCCAGTTCTGCGACGTGGAGTTTGTGCTGGGTGAGGTGGGTGCCCTTCTGTGGACGGAGGAGGGGGGCTGTGCACCCAGAGGCACGCTGGCGGCCCACTGGTGCTGGGGTCCCCGGGCCCCCGCGCTGGCTGGGCCTGTGTCCCTCGGGGAGAGAACCTGTGCCCTTCCCCCTGTCGTTCCTGCTGCAGAAGGAGGAGTGTGTTCAGGGCCACGTGGCCATTGTCACAGCACGAAGCCGCTGGCTCCGCAGGAAGATCGTCCAGGCGAAGGAGCGGCTGGCCCAGGTGAGGTGTGGCCCTGCCTGGCCCTGCCTGGGCAGCAGCATTCATGGGGTGTCCTTAAGCTCCCCTTTCTCTTCCCACAGAAGCTGGAGGAGGAGGCAGGTCTGGCTCCCAGGGAGGCCCCTGCTGTGCCTGTGGGTGGGGCTCGGCCACCCCTGCTGCACGTGGCCATCCGAGAGGCGGAGGCCCGGCCCTTCGAGGTGCTCATGCAGTTCCTCTACACCGACAAGATCAAGTACCCAAGGAAAGGTCCGCCGGGGCTGGGGGGCAGGAACGGGGGTGGTGGTGCCAGTGACCCTACTTGCAGGTGGGCAGCCTGAGGCTCCGAGGCCGAGATGACCCGTGTGTGGTTCAGTTACGGAGCCGCAGCCTCCGGGCCCCAGCCCGCACTTGTCCGTAGAGGGAGCCCGGGGCCCTGTCCTCCCCTCTCCCCTGCCCAAGGGCCCCAAGGCTCAGGGAGCTCTCGGCGCAGGCCACGTGGAGGACGTGCTGCTCATCATGGACGTGTACAAGCTGGCGCTGAGCTTCCAGCTGTGCCGCCTGGAGCAGCTGTGTCGGCAGTACATCGAGGCCTCTGTGGACCTGCAGAACGTGCTGGTCGTGTGCGAGAGCGCTGCCAAGCTGCAGCTGGGCCAGCTGAAGGTGCCTCCTAGCCCACCCCGCCCACTGCTGCCAGCCCCTTGCCCGGTCTGGTGCCCTCTTGGGGCCGAGGCCTGACCCCGCCCGTCTGTCCGGCCTGTCTGTCCCAGGAGCACTGCCTGAACTTCGTGGTGAAGGAGTCCCACTTCAACCAGGTGATCATGATGAAGGAGTTCGAGCACCTCTCATCCCCACTGATTGTGGAGATCGTCCGGCGGAAGCAGCAGCCACCGTCTCGCGCCCCCTCAGACCAGCCCGTGGACATTGGTAGGAAGCCGCGTCCTTTCCCTGCCAGGGGCTGGCCAGGTAGCATTCATCTTGGTCAAGACTGGGAGCCATGGGGTCACCTGCCAGGCTCTCAGGCAGGGGTGGAGGGGTGGGTGCAGAGGACCCCAGTGTGTCTCCCTGGTAAAGGGGCAGGGGCAGAGGGAGGCAGTTCAGGCTCAGTTAAAGGAACAACAGCCAACCCACTGGGCTTTCCACCGTGGGCGTGTGCCTGTGGGTAGGGAACCTCCTGAGCCCATTTCTGGAGGTGACACGGGGCACCTCTCTGGTAAGGGTGCCTGCCCTGCCTGACATCAGGTCTGAAAGCCTCTGAAGGGGGCGATGTGCTCAGCGTCACAGTGATTAGTCACCAAGCTTCGCCTCTAGGGCCCAGTGAGGGGTGAGCACAGCCTGCAGAACTCAGATGCTCCCACTGCCTCCTGCCCCCCTACCTGGGAAGGGAGGACACAGGCTCCTTTATCCCCGTCTTTCTCTGGGGCCTGTGCTGACCCTGGTCACTGCCCTGGGCAACATAGGGTGTGCCAGGCCCAGAGGAGGGCTCAGTGAGCTGAGTTTGGGAGATTTGACTCTGGGGGTGGGCGTGCCTGAGGGCTGTGTGTGGAGCTGAGGACAGGGCCTGATGGTGCCTCGAGGGCCAGAATGAGGCCTCTTGCCTGGAGGAGGTTCATTCAGGGTGGCAAATGGGCAGATGTGCAGGAGGAAGTGCCCTGGGGCCCTGAGGCCCAAGTCAGGAGCAGGGTCTACTAAGAGGCAGGAGGTGCCTGCTCAGGGTCCCTCCATGCCCCTCCAGGTACCTCTCTGATCCAGGACATGAAGGCGTACCTGGAGGGAGCCGGCGCGGAGTTCTGTGACATCACACTGCTGCTGGATGGGCACCCCCGGCCAGCCCACAAGGCTATCCTGGCTGCCCGCTCCAGGTGGGTGGGGGTGCAGCTGCCAGGCAGGGCGGGCCCAGGCAGGCCCTGGCTGCATCCGCTAAGAGCCAGGCCTCTGCCGCCCCCTGTCTGCAGCTACTTTGAGGCCATGTTCCGGTCCTTCATGCCTGAGGATGGGCAGGTGAACATCTCCATCGGGGAGATGGTGCCCAGCAGGCAGGCCTTCGAGTCCATGCTACGCTACATCTACTACGGTGAGGTCAACATGCCTCCTGAAGACTCGCTGCATCCTCACCCCTGAGGGTGCTCCCAGGGCATCGCTGGGGCTCGCAGCACCCACCTCGGGCGGCCTGGCAGGCTGGTCTTGGCTGGGTGGTTTCCCGAGGACTTTTGGTGCCTGGTGCTCTCTGAACTAGTTGGTCATGCGGCACAGAGGGGTTTGTAGCCAGGAGGGACAGTGGGTTCTTGATCTCATGACTGTTTGGAGTAAGGGGTTGGTCATTGCTATGTGACAGGCGAGCAGATGGACATAGAGTGATTCCTGGTCACGGCACTTCAGTGGGAGTCTGAACCTGGGGTGCGAGGATGCCCTTTAGGGCTCTGGGAGACTGTGGCCAGTTCTGCAAAGATGCATATGAGTGTTTTCCTGGGGAGAGGATGCTGTGGTGTTTTTCTGAATCTCGATGGGGCTTTTGACTCCTAAGTGGTCAGAGTGTGTATAGAGATCAAGCCAGTGATCTGCCTGGACTGGAGCCCATGCCAGACTCTCCTGGTGGGGCAGGTCCCCGGGCCTGAGCAGGTGCAGTCTCAGGTTTTCTCTGCCCCTGGCAGGCCAGGGCTTCAGGTGCACTGTCCCCTGGGAGGAGGGTGGTGAGCGGGAGGATGCCTCCTTTGGTGACAGCTCCTTAACCAGATCCCCCAGCTACCTGTTCGCGGCCCCCTACTACTACGGCTTTTACAACAACCGGCTACAGGCATACTGCAAGCAGAACCTGGAGATGAATGTGACGGTGCAGAATGTGCTGCAGGTAGTACACCTGGTGCCTGCTGGCCTCCCTGCACCTGGACAGGTGGGTGAGGGGTGGGGCAACACTTCAACGAACCTGCCATTCCAGATCCTGGAGGCGGCTGACAAGACGCAGGCGCTGGACATGAAACGGCACTGCCTGCACATCATCGTGCACCAGTTCACTAAGGTCAGGCCCTCCTGGCTCAGCACCCGCTGCTCACCCCTCATCTTCAGGACCCACTCTCCATGGCAGCAGCGGTGGCCAAGTGGGGGGAGGGTGCCTGGAATCTTGCCATCTTCTGCAGCAGTAGGCCCTGGGGGTAACCAAGCAGAGCCACCCACCCCTCTGGTCACTACTCACCCCATCTTTGGAGCCCACCCAGCCCTCACATGAATCCAGTTCCATCCTGTTCTGGCCTTTTGGTCAACTCCCACAGGTCTCCAAGTTGCCTACGCTGCGCTCACTGAGCCAACAGCTACTGCTCGACATCATAGACTCCCTGGCCTCCCACATCTCCGACAAGCAGTGTGCAGAGCTGGGCGCCGACATATGAGGGCCCAGGCGGTGCCAGCCCACAGATGGAGAATGACCATGCCTGACCTGCCCCCTGCAAAAACTGTGTTGGCAATCCTCAGGCCTGTGACAGTGGTCAGACCTGCTGGCCAAAAGACAGGGTGCCCAGAACCTCAGAAGAGAGCTGAGGGGACATGGGGGGCTCCAAATGCCCTGTTTCACAAATGACAGGCCTCGCAGGAAGTGGATGGTGAAACAGGCCCCCCAGGTGGCATCCTCTCCTGGGATGGAGGCGTGGGTGGGAAGCTGGGGCTCAGTGACGATAGGAAGAGGCAGGATTCCTGGCCAGGGTCCAGCAGTGGGGAGAGCCCATCGGGGAGCTGATTTTGGGGTCCCCATCTGACAGGGACCCAGCATGGTTGTGGAAATGGCTACAGTCATGTTGCGAAGGTCTCTCTAATGTGGGGGTCACACAGGCCCCCCTCACCAAGGTTGGTATAAGGGGTCCCTGGAGCTTATGCTGGGCACCTGATGGGCAGATGGATCTGATTCAAGATGAATTTTGGTGTGAAAGGCCCTGGGGCCAGTTCCTAGCCCACAGGGCCAACCACTCTGGACTGGGTCTGGATTCCAGAGGGACTTCAGGATCCCACATATCTGTGTGCCCATCCTTCTGGGCTGTGCCAAGAAGTCAGTAAAGATGCCCCCAGTCCCTGTGTATCCCTAAGTATTCTGTCACAGACATGCCTCCATTGAAGCCACAGCAGTGCTACCTACTACACACACCTTGCTGGTGTCCCCACCGGTGGGCTCTGGCCTTAGCCTTTGGCCCTCCCACAGCTGTGGATTGGCCATGTGGCCCAATTGCTTGGCATTGGTCAGTCTTGCCTGGTTCTCTGTCAGCAACTTCTCACCCCCACCTGAGGCAACATGGAGGAAGGGGCTGTGGCAGGAATCCAGGCTGGCTTCTCCCACCTCAGCCTAAGCCTGGGATGCCTGCACCCCCCATATGCTGCACCACAGGCTCCTGCATGGGCTGGAAATGCATCCTTTCCTGTTCCCCCACAGAAGGCCCTGTGATTCCACCCCAGTGCGGAAGGCACCGTTCAGCCTCCTTTCTGGGAACAATCCCAGGGACCCTCTGCCCCAGCTTCCAGGAAGCCATGTGGGGGGAAACGATCTTTCTTCCCTGCCTCAGGGCTCACTTCCTCTGGCTGTGCCTCGTGCAAACGCAGCACCTGCCACTCGGCCCTGCTGAAGAGCCTGGATGTAGGCGGGTGGGGGCCGCTGTGGCAGGTGAGCACCCTTAGGCAAGGGAGCCCATCCATAAAGGAGAACGAGCTTGGGGACCTTGGGGGACAACCTGCACATCCTGCTCTGCAGTGGACAACTTGGGACCCTTGTAACTGGTCACTTGACTGTCTTTTCTAGACATGCTGTCAATAAATGAAGCCACAGAAAAAGCAAATTTCAGAACACGGTGTGGCCATTCACAGGACTAGACAGCATTCAGCTGTGCTCTTGGGGCTGTTGTGGCCAAGGCCCAGCAGGGAGATACCACCTGTGCGGGCAGTCGCCCCATGTACTGAGCTATTTGCTATGCTTACAGATGCAGGGAAGTCGTCTAGATTCCAGTCAAGTTGAATTAAAATGGGGACACAGATTGAGGCCAGGACTGCTGCTGTGTGCTTCCCCCACTTCTCCAGACCTCCAGGGACCAGAAATGTTGAGCCTTACTACTTGCCAAGCATAGCAGCCCCAGGAGGTCAGAAATTACAATTTTTTGTCCTGGTTTTCAGATGAGATAGGCCATCTGAGTGGGGGCTGGCCTTCAGGCCAGGACTCAGGCTGGAAGCCTGTTGGGTCCTGAAAAGGAACTTCCCGGCATGGGTTTGAGTCTTTTCCAAGGAACCAGCTTGTGTTGGCACCTGTTTCAGGTGCCAAAGGAAGGGTGCCTAGTGCTGTCCCAGGCTCTACTTACACTACCCCGACCCTAAGAACCCGTGGGGCATGGAGCTGCATGGGGAGGAGTAGGCAAGAGCTGGACTCTCTCTTATCTGCAGCCCAGAGCGTGGACTCCAGGGTCTGAGCCTTCTGGGGGCTGCAGCTATTGAATGGGGGAACAAGCCTGGCACTGAGGGAAGGGCCCCAGCCCTCAGCTGAAGCAGATATAGGGCCTCCTAGAACCCACTTTATTATGGCATCTGGTAGGTCTGGTGGATGTAGCTCAAAGCAGGTCCCTTTCCAGGTGAATTCTCAGGAAGTGGCTGGAGCCCTGACAGGCAGCCCCCCGTCAGCTGTGGGTCCAGTGGCCCCTCACTCAGGTCATGCTGCTGCTCAGCTGCATGGCAAAGTCCTGCACATGTTCCTTCAGAGTCTGGCGGGCATCTGCCTGTGCCCGCTTCTCCCGTGCCCTCTCCTGCTGTAGTTTGGTTAGCCGAAGCCGCAGTCGCTGCTCCCGTCGCTTGCAGGCCTGCAGCTGGCGCTGGGCCTTGTCCAGGGCATCGAGTGCAGCCTCAGCCCTCCGCTTCCAGAGCAGGGCACTGCCCACCTGGTAGCTGTGCTCATTCTGGATGTAGGCTCCAGCGGGTGGTGGGAGGCGCAGCATGTAGGCTGAGGGTGAGACAGGCCGCGGCTCAAGAGGGGACGGCTGCCGCTCTGGCTCCCGCTCCGGTGAGGGCTGGGCGCTGCAGCCTGCTTCATCTGCTTGGGCACCCAGAGGCCCCAGGAGGTCTGAGAAGGGACTGCTGAGGCCAGGCTCCAGTCTCCCAGTAGGGGAGGCTGGCAAAGCAGCAGGTGCCGAGGCCTCTTCCACAGGAAAGCAGGTGACCTCAGCAGGTGGAGGTGGAGAAAAAGGAGTTGTGGGTCCTCGGCCCTCAGAGCAGCTGTGGGGAGAGAGACTGACAGGTCAGGCTAAGGCAGCCGTGGGCAAACTACGGCTCGCGGGCCGGATCCGGCCCGTTTGAAATGAATAAAACTAAAAAAAGAAGAGACCATACCCTTTTATGTAATGATGTTTACTTTGAATTTATATTAGTTCACACAAACACTCCATCCATGCTTTTGTTCCGGCCCTCCGGTCCAGTTTAAGAACCCATTGTGGCCCTCGAGTCAAAAAGTTTGCCCACCCCTGCTTTACAGTGTCTACCAGCAGCAATGATGGACAGGGTCCTGAGCCTATGGAGCAGGTTGATGTTCCTGTTCAGGGGGGCTGGTGAAGTGGGGTCTGGCAAGCCCTTAGCCCAGGGGTGGGCAAACTTTTTGACTCGAGGGCCACAATGGGTTCTTAAACTGGACCAGAGGGCCGGAACAAAAGCATGGATGGAGTGTTTGTGTGAACTAATATAAATTCAAAGTAAACATCATTACATAAAAGGGTACGGTCTTTTTTTTTTTTAGTTTTATTCATTTCAAACGGGCCGGATCTGGCCCGCGGGCCGTAGTTTGCCCACGGCTGTTCTAAAGCCTCAAAATTGGGGTGAGTGGGGCAACCCCCACCCATAGCACATACCGCTTCCTGCATCGCCGGAGCCGGCTGACATCGGGGGGACCAGGTGGGTAACTGTGCCCCTTGGTCTTGGTTGTCCGGCGCAACTTGGTGAAAGACTCAAATATCGTGGGAACTGCCCCCTCCTTCAGCCTGTGATACCCACTGTTGGGGAAAGCAACCTGGATGAGATGGAGAATGAGCACTGCCACCCCCAGCTGACCTGCAGAGGATCAGAGTGAGCATGCCCTCCAGCACCCTGCAGCAGGCTCTCCAGGGCTAGCAAACAGTTAGTTTGGAGAATGCCAAGTTAGGCAGAGTTACACCAATCTCTTCCCTGCAGGGCTCCTCCAAGTTAAGGTGTGTGGAAAGGCTCCACCAGAACTGGGTTGACCAGCCAAAATGAATTATTTCATTTGTGGACCTGGTGGGAGGACTGGGATTCTAAGGAACTCCTGCTGGAAAAGCTCATGTTTTCCTCTTGTGTCACTGGCACAGCCATCCCCAGGGGGGTGGGTCTTACTGTCCTTATCTGCTGGAAGAGGAAACTGAGGTACAGAGCTGGGAAGAGACAGCGATCCCCGAAACCAGGTCTGCCTGTTTTCGTGCCAGGTGATTCAGGAATCTCCCCATTGGGCCCTGCAGATACCCCAATGCTGGCTGGCAAGGAGGCTCACCTGATTCCCACCAGCTCAAAGCAGTTCTCCTCGAAGTGTTTGGAGCAGAAGTAGATGTACTCGGATGCTGGGTCCCATAGGCCCTGGCCGCTGGGGTCCAGCCTCTGGCAATTGGCCAGCCACAAGCCTCGCCTTGGGTTGTCCTTTTTGGGAAGTCTGTGGAGCCACAAACCTGTGAGCCGCAGGCTTCCTGGAGCCCTGGGGCTATGCTGCCTATGTTCCCAAGATGGGAAGAGCTGGCCCTGCACATGCTGCCAGGAGACCGCCCTTCTACCCTAACAGGGAAGCACCGTCCACCAGAGCACAGACGCGGAATCTGAGGCCTCCACAAGAGGCACAATGTGCTCAGCGTCATCTAGTAGGTAAGAGTCGCAGAGCAGAGAGTTCAAGGGTGGTGGAGGTGCGTCCTTCCTTTCCCGTCCGGACTCAATTCCTCCTAGATCGCCCGCTTCACCCCCTCCCACCCACCCACAAGTTCAAGCTTCGCCCCCAAACAGAGAACGCGCATGTGCAAGTGTGGCTTCGCGCCAGCAGAAAGGGCACATGCGCACGTCAACCGGCGTGAGCCAGCACGCACGCGCGCTGACCTGTGGAAGGAGATGCCGCGATTGCGCGTCTCGCGGGTATCCCGAGTGCAGCAGCCGGCGGCGGAGCAGTGACGCGGCATCTGGGGAAGAGGCGGGAGCTTGGTCGCGGGCGGCTGTCCGGCCCGTAGGGGCCTCGAGCCCCCAGCCGCCGCTCCGGTTCAGGCGGCCCTGTCTTGCCGAGTCTCCCACTGCCCGAGCCCCTTCCCAGCCCTTTCTCCGGGCTCCCGTCAGCGGCACTCACGGTCTCGCCATTGCTGAGCCGCCGGAGTCTCGCGAGATGGCGGAAGTTGGTACCATAGAGACTGGGAAATACGGAACGCTCGTTCGAGGGGCGGGTCTGGTCCCGGAAGCGGTTGGAGCGTGGGGTCGCAGCTGTGAACGATTCGTTCTAGGCTCCCCGTACGCCTTCGTCATCGTAAAGTCGGCCCCTCGCCTTTGCCCTTCTCTGCCTATTGGCTGTCGACCGGTAGTGCCCTGGGGCCGGACCATGCATTCGCGGAGGCCCCGATTGCAAGAGAAACTTCAACGAAAAGGAGCCTGGACTCGAGTTCAAACCTGACCAAAACCAGTGCTCACTTCTGGAGAGGTGCCTCTAATTGGAAGGGCGGGCAGTGGGCAGTGATTGCGTTTTGGGAAATGTGATGAGCAGAGGCTCTGCTAGCGATTTCCGCCAGGGATCTGAAAGGGAAAAGCTAAGGGAGGTCAGAAATTGGGTTTGTGCTGCTTGGGGCTGCCTCCCTGGCCCCTCCCACAAGACGGTAAAAACAGCCACTCTTCAGCTTAGAAAAAAACGGGCTACTATTCCATTTTCCAAAGAACATGAAGTATGGAACCAAGGATTTAAGAATGTTTAAATATAAAATAATTGAAGCACTTTTTCATTTCCTCAGATGTGCTTTTTTTTAAAAAAACAAACTTTATTGATTTCAGAGAGGAAGGGAGAGGAAGAGATTGAAACATCAATGATGAGAATCATTGATCGGCTGCCTCCTGCACACTCCCCACTGGAGACTGAGCCCACAACCTAAGCATGTGCCCTTGACCGGAATTGAACCCAGAACCCTTTAGTCCCCAGGCTGCGGCTCTATCCACTGAGCAAAACCAGCTAGGGCATCAGATGTGCTTTTTGAAGCCCTTTCTGGGAGTAATGCGGTAATTAAACGTGCATAGTTTTTCAGTTTGAAAGGAAATGCTTTCCCCTACAAATCCACTTGGAAAAAGGCAGGTATCTGGATGGGGAATTTTGTCAAAGTGCAGCACAAGGGACAGATGATGCTTCAATACAGAAACTTTAATAGGTAAACATACTGTAATGTTACAGTGTGTGTGTGGGGGATACAAAGGGATAGGTGCCAGCACAACTCTCCCATTCAGTATTCTTCCCCTTCTTCAGCCTCAGCTTCCACGGAATCCACGCCCACCTCTTCATAATCTTTCTCCAGAGCTGCCAGGTCCTCCCGGGCCTCGGAGAACTCCCCTTCCTCCATGCCCTCCCCCACATACCAGTGCACAAAGGCTCGCTTTGCATACATGAGATCGAACTTATGGTCCAGGCGGGCCCAGGCCTCGGCGATGGCGGTGGTGTTGCTCAGCATGCACACAGCCCGCTGCACCTTGGCCAGGTCTCCTCCAGGGACGACGGTGGGGGGCTGGTAGTTGATGCCCACCTGCCAGAGAAGGAGAAAATAGAGTGAAGTTTGTATTGTGGCCTCAGAAATGGTAGCTTGTTTTTCAAAACTGGAGCTGTGGGCCCAGGTTAAATGAACCCCCATAGAAACTGGTACATTAGTTTTTGGCAACATCTGTCAACAGTTAATATCCTTTAACTGTTTACTTCTTTATAAATTTCTTTTGACTGGTTTTAGAGAGAGGCAGGGTGCGAGAGAGAAACATCAATTTATTGTTCCACTCATCTATGTATTTCATTGGTTGATTCTTATATGTGCCCTGACTGGGGATTGAACCTGCAACCTTGGCATATAGGGACGCTGTTCTAACCTACTTAGCTATCTGGCCAGGGCTAATCATATACTTTCACTGTTTGGATTTACTCACACAGGAACACAAAGCTACATGTATAAAGACTTCTCTAATTTAAAGCACTGTTTGTAATGGCAAAATTGGAAACAAATGTCTATCATTTGTTGTACACCCATACAGTAAAACACTATAATGATTATGAAAAAGGATGATAAATCTGTCCTGGCATATAAATATATCCAAGGTATATTGTATTGTATATTTGGTAAAAAGGAAAGCAAGTTGAATTCTATGTATTTATGCTTAGAAATACCTATAGAGTAATAAATAGACTAGAGGTTTGGACAACTTAGGGAACATAATGCTGGAGGAAGACAAATGCCTGGGAATGTGCTGAGGTGGTCACCTATCTCTGCCCTGGTGAGTAGACAGTAGTTAGCAGAAGCCAGGCACACCATTCTCCAGAACAGTTGGGGAGGGCAGGGTAAAGGGCACAGCAGGTTCTGACCCTGATCAAGGGGCCCCATGGCTCTAAGGCTAGGGCCAACAGGCCCCTCCTAGTGGGAGTGCTGCCAACTTCCGGTTCTCTTTGGCCACCTGTGTGCAGCAAGTTGAGTCCGTCACCTACGTGAAAAGAATGTGCATTTTTTGCCGAAGTTGCTTGGCTCTTCCTGTGAACCTCCCCCATATAGCAAGAGGCATAGTACACATTGAATATGCACAGAACATCGCTGTAAGGACAAACAAAGCCCTGGGGAAGGAGAAGACGACTTTAGTCTTTCAGCATTCTTGTTTTAATATTTTGCCACATATGTGTGTTTCTATAATTAAAAAAACTAAACATATTTAAACATGGATGATTCCTTGAAAACACCATATCCCTAAACAAATGGTTGTTAAAGAAGATGGGAATTCACATGGTCCATCTTAGGTTGGACTGTCTTCCCTGGGTACAGAAGAAGCTTTGACTTCCTGCACCTCCTCACAGACCAGCCTCCCTACTGGTTCACAGGACCCAGAGACTCAGCTAGGAGATGAACCTGGGCACAGGGCACAGCAACTCCCACAATGCCTCCCAGCTGAGGCGGCTTAGATGTCCTTACTTTCCAAAGGTCACAGTGACTGAAAGAGACTTTCCTCCACTCAAGAACTTGGAATGCAAAGTTTCAACTCCTACCTAAAACCTCTATGGTCTGCAAACTTATTTAAGACTTAATGATTTTTTTTTTTGCATGAATCACTTAAAATTTACTTCCTCAAAGACAATCTGTGTCAGTGTCTTAAGTGGGGCTGACAGAGGGCTAGATACCTTCAATAATGTGGGTAGTCAGTGGCAAGTTACAACTATTCCAAATGGGAACAAGATGACATATATTTCTGCTGCTTAATGATTTCTCAGTCTGGCATGACCCTGGACCTTGCAATTCCCAAAATGAGGGCTTACAAATGTGGGGGGTCTAGAGCTTTATCTAATGCAGAAAACCAATTGTGAATGAGGACTTAAAGAAAATACCTACATTTCTATTATAAAAATTTTACTATTAAGATTTTTAAAAAATCATTTCAAGGTCAACCTACATTTTCCATACTAAATCCACTACCCTAATGGGAACAACGATCCTTCAGACATTCTTCTGTTCTGTTAAAAAGGTACACTAATTGATGACCAAGAGCCTAGCTGCCATGAACGGGGTATTCTCCACAAGGGCAGCATCCCTTCGCAGGGTCTGCTGCATGCTGCAAGGTAAAACCACTCGTTATCACCCAGTCCTACCTTAAATCCCGTTGGGCACCAATCCACAAACTGGATGGTGCGCTTGGTCTTGATGGTGGCAATGGCCGCGTTGACATCTTTCGGGACCACGTCCCCCCGGTACAACATGCAGCAGGCCATGTACTTGCCATGGCGAGGGTCACACTTGACCATCTGGTTGGCAGGCTCAAAGCAGGCATTGGTGATCTCAGCCACAGACAGCTGCTCATGGTAGGCCTTCTCAGCTGAGATGACTGGGGCGTAGGTGGCCAGGGGGAAGTGGATGCGGGGGTACGGGACCAGGTTGGTCTGGAATTCCGTCAAGTCCACGTTCAGGGCCCCATCAAAGCGCAGGGAGGCCGTGATGGAGGACACGATCTGCCCAATCAGACGATTGAGGTTGGTGTACGTGGGCCGCTCAATGTCCAGGTTGCGCCGACATATGTCATAGATGGCTTCGTTGTCCACCATGAAGGCACAGTCGGAATGCTCCAGGGTCGTGTGGGTGGTCAGGATAGAGTTGTAGGGCTCCACCACGGCCGTGGACACCTGGGGGGCTGGGTAAATGGCAAATTCTAGCTTGGACTTCTTGCCGTAGTCGACCGAGAGCCGTTCCATAAGCAGAGATGCAAACCCAGAGCCGGTGCCGCCCCCGAAGCTGTGGAAGATGAGGAAGCCCTGCAGCCCCGTGCACAGATCCGCCTGAGAGAAAGCAGAGACCGTGAGCAATGCCTTTCGAAGCCACACCGCCAACCTCCCACAAGCCTAGGTCACTTCTCTTTGACTCCACAAGGTTAAATGGATCCCAGTCACCCCAGGTAACATGCATTCCACTGAAGGGGAGGCCAAGCAGACACACAGATGTACGGATGGATGCACCGCAGCCACACCAGGAAGGAGGACCATGGGTTCATGATTCTGCCTTGGGTTTTGCCAAAACGACCCTGGAAGGCTTCCCGGCACCTTCTTACCAACTTGCGAATCCGGTCCAGGACCAGGTCAACAATCTCCTTGCCAATGGTGTAGTGGCCTCTGGCGTAATTATTGGCTGCATCTTCCTTCCCGGTGATCAGTTGCTCAGGGTGGAAGAGCTGCCTGTAGGTCCCTGTGCGCACTTCATCTACAGAGAGGACACATGTGCATGGTCTTTAAGGATGATTTTTAACTCACCAGCATGGACAGTCATGGGGACCGTTCAATTCTACCAAGCACGTGCTGTTCCTGGTAGGTCAATAGCATCAGTGTATCACAGGGAGGCCCTACGTAATACACAGAGCACATCTGCAATCTATGGCTCTAGGGAGGTAAACTCAACTCATGGCACAAATACCAGCTTGACCGGTTCCCAAAGAAGAGAACAGAGTGCTCACCCCTGCACACAAGACTACAAGTGCATATTTCTTTCACACCAAATGGTATAATTTTAAATGATTCATACTGAACAGTCACTAGGTCAGTGTGCTTTTTGCCAGGCAGTCCTATCAGGGCACCTGTGTGGCCTGGTCTCAGACTTTAGGGTGACATTCTGTCACCTCTGGGTGACCACTAACAGGTCTGTCTTTGCAGGTCTCCTCAGGCTTCTAATCTGGAGGGATCCAATGAATGTTCTCTACTTACCTATGTCTGAGGCGCAGGTTAAGACTCTTGTGCACCAGCCTGCGAAAGTGCACAGCATTAAGGCGACCGCCTACCTGGGGCTGAGGCAGTCATGAATGAATCTGTCATAGCCCACCTTACTCCTTGCAAAGCCTTTTCTGTATGTTAGGTTTTTCTAAATCAGGAGCCCAAGCCCCACATTTCAAGCACTAACCTTTCGGTTTCTCGCCTAATATGGTCACGGCTTACCTGTGTGTCCATCCATCCTTTCTGCAGAGGAATTCCAA